CTATGTGCTCGCTTGTCATCCTTATCCTATAAAAACTATCAAAGAGAAAAATAAATAAGAGAAAAAACATATAAAACAATTGATGGTAATCAGGTGGACTGTGAGCTCGTTTGTCACTCTTATCCTATAAAAAAAAAATACTAAATCCACAAAGTACAAGTATAAAGGTTAACATTGTCCAACATTTTGATGGGAAAAATAGCCTCGCAGGTGCTTCCTGGTTGAAAACCAAATAGAGTTTCTAGCAATAACGTCTCCAATATAAAAATAAGAGTTGAAAAGAACTCTGGCGTATATCTTCTACGGCACAGAGAGCGACATGCCTACATAAGTAGCTCTCCGACGAGAGTCTTATTATTTACACGACTGCACGGCAAATCTTGCCACTTATTGCTGTTATTTCTATAAATACAAATATAATTAGTCTCTCTTTATGCTAATTGTTCCACTTATTGGCGAGTTTCTCCAAAAATGTCAAATAGCAGCTATTATACTTATTCAGTAAAGAACTAAATAAAAATTTGAAATGCTTGTAAAATGTCACCATGCTAAATTCACGTAAACCGGTCAAATATTTAGGTGACCCAACTTGTGACATAATTTATATGTGAGCAATCGATTACTGCTAAAAGCAGGTTTTAAGTATATGGTTATAGTAGATTTTATATAATGGCTATTTTTGTCTGAAAGATTGCCAATGAAAGATTAAATAATATCTGTACCAAGCATTTTGCAAATAATGCTTGGCAAGTCTAATATCATAGATGAGATGGTATAGTGCGATCATTTGAAATAAAATTAAAATAATTATTAAATATAAATATTAATAAATTCACGGGTCAATATACAGAAAATCTCGACTTTCTCAAATTTTTAACGTGGCAAGCTCTAAGCACGTAGTATATTATTTAGTATAGGAAAGAAGCAATTATGGTAAAAATAAGTCTAAAATTTAATCATATTACCTGCCAAACATTGTGATTATGCCAAGTATACCCACTGCAATATGACCTCATCCTCCTGAACCTGATCTCATTGATGAAACTAATTTTATGACGTTTATTTTTGACTTAAATATTCCGAAATTAAAGATTAAATAAGATAACAATATAAGATAAAATAAGTCTGTTAAATTAGTTTTATCTTATGTGTAGTACATATATATTAGCGAAAATATAAGAAATCCTTATATAAGAGTTGGAAAAAGGACAGGTCCATCATAATGTATGCAAATGTGAGAGATAAAGTCATTGTTGCAACATTAAAAACCTTATTGTTATTACTATAACTTAAAATAATTTAACACTCACATTCTGTCTAATATTTTTTGAATTTTGAAGAAACGCGATTTATAATATAATTTCTTATGAATAGGAGAAACAATATATAAAATGACATTGTAATATTATTATTTTATTTCCTAAAATTTTAAAAACCTAATTTTAATCTAATCCTGTCTTACAAGTGACTGACGGACAGAATGAAATTATTAAAATCATATTCTGACAGAGAGTTTCTAGTGAATTTGTAATCCTTAATGTATACCGGCGCAGCAATAAACGCGAAAATAATTCTAATTTTTTTTATACCACGACAGCTTTGTTTATATACCGTATAAAAATTTGTACTGCTACAAGAAAAAAAAAGAAAAATGAAGCATATCGATATGTGATTCACACAACTATAAAAAACAAACTGAATACCGTTTTAAGGTCGATACCCTGCTGGTGCAAGACATTCCAGATAATGACTTTTTTACTTCTTTTTTACTACCAATAAGACTCGATATCAAGATATTATATTATGGATGATAATAACCCCTGGAAATGAGGTGATCGCTACCAAGCTATTTCTAATTTGTTGTGTTGTTAATTTGTGTAACATCATGATTGTAAGCTGTTATTTAAAAAAAAAGTCCCGCTGGGTTTCTTGCTGGTTCTTCCCAGGACAGAGGTTTTTTCCGAACCAGTGGTAATCAAACAAAAGAGTGACTTTCAATAAGTATTATTTATAATCTATATTGAATAAAAAAGTTTCTGTTTCTGTTTCTGTTTCTGATCTCAAGTATTGAAAAAAATACATTGGCCAGAAAGGAAAGGATAAAAATTCAAGAAATTAAAATTCCCTCTTTCTACATCCTGTTAGTTTTCGTGCAGTATTAATCAGGTAACCGGTTTTACTTGCCATCTTCATACATCTACACTAAAAAAACCAAATGATCTATCTAATTCAAGGACCTACGGTTTCACTTTGTTGCTATGCGTCAACAACTACGCCTGTAGCTTTGATATTATGACATAACTAATGTTACCTTTACATACACTGAACAAATTTAGAGGAACACAAAAAAAAGGCTTATTTTCTCCTATTGTCGTTATAGTACATACTGGCCACAAAAAATAAATGATATTTAAAAAAAAGGTTCAAAGATGTTTTTTTTTTTCGAATTTTCTTTGTTTTTATGTAATTATTTTGTAATATTGCATTGCGAAAAATATTGCTAATTTTTTAATTCAAATTTAAATTTTGGTTTTATTTATTTTTTTTGCCTTGACTCCCTTATTTGTGATGTTATGTATGTATTTGTAATGCAAGTAGCTGAGAATCCAAGATCTCAACGCCACTTAAGTTGCTGGGGCTGTTACTTTAATTCAAAGAATACATACATACATTTTATAAAAATATTAATATGAATATAGGTTTAAATTTCGAGTCTTGCTACATAAGATACTCTTTTACCTATCGCATCACATGGAGGTTGAATAAAGTGACAGTGGAAAATTAAATGACTATTCAACTTTGCCAAACTTCCTTGCCAGCCTTTACAACTTGGCAATCTTTCTTTTAAAATGTGTAATGCGACACCACTATAAAATAATAATTTACAACAATATTCTACAAATGACGATCGCAGTTCAAGTTTCCCATCACTGGATTGGATATTTTACATCTATTCATCCATCACACCAACTCGTAACACTGGTGGTCGGAAGAAACGACAAAGGAACATGTTTGCTCTCATGGCTTTCGATACACAGCGGTTAAACCATCTAGAATTATTACAGAAATTAAATACTACTAGATAGTAATACTACACCACTAAAGTTTGATACTGCGATCGCCAGCCCTCCTGCCAAGACTGCAATTATAGAAATTCCTCTTTTTAATACCCTCATCTTTTAATCAGAAGCTATCAGAGGCTGCTGCAAAATTTTTCTACAGTATCTATTAATCCGCGGCTAGCCTTGCTAAAATTCAAAAACGGCTAGACCAATTTTGATGAAGTTTTTCTACGTCTCTGCATCCCTGGATACTTTTAATTCACATTTGGACCCAGTAGGTGCCATTGTTGTCGAGGTCCAGAAATCACCCGTGCGAAGCTGAGGCGGATCGCTAGTATAATACTATAATTATATAATAACTATATAATTAAAAATTAAAAAGTTTATAAAACCGACTTCAATATAAATTATTAAGGATAACTCAAAAAACTATTGGTCAGACCTCAATCAAATATATATGGAACCACATGAGAAGCATCAGCTTTCAAATAAAAAAAATCATGGAAATCGGTTCACCCAGAATAAAATTATGAGAACACATATAAAAAAGAAGAAAAAACATACAGTCGAATTGAGTACCTCCTCATTTTTCAAGTCGGTAGAAAAGAGACGTTTCCTCGCCTGGAATTCCTCTAATATAGTGTATGTACGCCTATCACGCGGGAGACCGGTGTTCGATTTCTCGCCGGGGAGCTGAATTTTGCAATCTAAATTTACAATATACACTGCAATGTAATCCAATCTTATTGTAGCCATTATAATTAGTCCTAAATTCTCATTTCTGTTTATTTGGGCTCGACTTACAATTACTTATTAATGATGATTTAAGTGCAGAGCTACAATCTATATATTAATACGAGATGGGAAAACTTTGTAACCCTTTTAAGTATATTGCGCGCACGAAGGAGTGAGAGATTTGGCATGGTTAAATTTTGTATGGAGAAGAAATGGATAAAGCTAAATTTATTTAAAATATGTATTACAAATACATTAAAATAAATAAAATAAAATGTACATTGTTTTTGCCAAATATTTTAAAATATTGACAACAAATAATTACTGTCATTTTGATTTCAAACGTTAATTTTTTAATCTTTATACCTATATATAAAAATTACGTGTCACATTGTTTGTCTGCGATGTACTCCCAAACTACCGAACTGATTTCAATGAAATTTTTCAAACTGTGTGCAGTTTGGTCCATCTTGAGAGATAGGATAGTTTTTATCCCGATAAGTGACCCTCAATATTTTTTTATTGCGAATTTAAGATTTTTTTATAGAAAGGGTCTTCGGAAAGGGCAGAACAACGTCTGCCTGGACAGCTAGTAGTCTATAGAGTTGCATGGCATGCCAAAAAAGCGTTTATTTTTATATTTGTATATTAGATATCTATGTTCTATGTATTAAATGAGCAGTTGAAAGTGAAATACGGCTTGCTTAATATACAAACTAAAAAAATTTATGAATTACGGTCGTACATCGTCATCTGGGTGACCACTAATATATTTTTAAATTATCTTTATTTCTTTTAATAAATTACCTTCAAAATCATCAAACTGGTCGTTGTTTTTGCCTATGACAGATGTAGGAATACAATAGTGATTTAATGATTTTGCTAATTTTGTCACGACGAACTGAAATTACTTAGATTTTAACATTTACAACGATTATTACCAATTTCATTAAGTGTCAGCCAGAAATAGAATATAAGAAACACTCGTGTAATGTAGAATACTTTTAACAAGACTAAATAATACGAATTTATATATAAATCTTTCAGAAATATAACTTATCCCAGAATTTTCACATAAGCATAGATAAATGAATTCTTAAACGCGTAGGCAGTCTATCGTTATATAATATACAAATTACTCACGAATCATTAAAAAAATAAATAGTTGAGCTCCTTGTTGTAATACTACGTATATATACTTACTGTGTAGTAAACTCCTTTTCGTTTGATTTAGGTGTTATATATTTGCACTTCATCGCCACTTTCTTATCAGAATAAATTTTACTATAGTAGTTTTTACTACTCTCTGCAGCTTCACCGAAATTTAAACTATCTGAGGAGACATATTTGCTTACTAACCCTTTAATAACTCCATTTAAGTAAGGGAATCGGCTGGCGTATATTCTGTAGCCCATGTATGGGTCATATTCACCGTTGAATCCATATTGACGCATGTATGAACCATCATAGGGCCAAGTGCCTTGTTTATAAACATAAGTGTACTTTCCTTCGTCTCCAGGTATATACTTTCCTTCGTCGAGTGGCCTATAGTATTTACCATCATCATATTCATAATATGTTCTAGGTCTATATTTGCCATCGTCATACGGAGAGCAGAGAACTGCACTTAATATTGACAGTACTAATACCTGAAATATAAAAATTATCAATGAAATGAGCAAGAGTACATGTACAGTATTAGAGCAGAAGGATAACTTATCGCAAAGTAATGAGGTACTTTAAAATAGTCATAAAATTTCGTTTATTATGACGATCATCAGTGTAGCCCTTCACAAGTCAAAGCAATGTCACAAAGCACGGTCCTTTGCCACATGCAATCATCACCTTCCTGCATGTCTTATCAGGTGATCACAATACAGCACATAATATCAACACACAGCAAATAACAAGTCAATCTTGAGATTGTCTTTATTATGACAACCAAAAGGCAAATTTTCAGCGATATCTCAGCGATCACGAGGGTAACCAGTCGGTAGCAATAACCTAATGGTGAAAGGTTGAATTGAACTGAACTGAACCTTAACGTTAATTTGGAGAGGTTACGACTAAAGTCATCAATCCGTACCTCTTGTGCTCAAGCTGTAACCTAAATGCCAAAAACTTTGAGCTCAATTTACAAAATTGTTGTCATGCCTAGAAGATTAAATACAGTGGACAATATAAAGACTAACTAATGGAAGCAGTTCATGCGGTTGAGGCAAAGTTCTGCAAGGTCCATCACAGTAGTATCTAAAACTCTCCGATGAAACTCTTAATGGTATGGATGTTAGACGGGAAATGAATCTGCAGTCTTTAACAAATATAAAAGCATATAGGTAACATAACAAAGAGATATACAAATGCATCCAGTGAGAATTACACGACTTCAATACAACTCGTATTGAAGAAGCAATTGAGAGAGGAAGTTGGCTACAAATTATTGACTACTAGATATCTATCTACCGGAAGAGACAACTGTCGAAATTGAAGATCGATTGTGCCAGCATCATTTTCAAGACACTTGAGATTAAGAAGTTTAGTACATCGTCCGTAGAGCCCGCAAATAAGAGTAGAGATCCAAGAACTCGTCTAAACGACACTATTCCGATGATATCTCAGTTCTGAGCGATATTAGAATGGTTCTCGAGCACCTTAAAACACTAAGGCTTCAGACAGGGACGGAATTATGGCTTCTGAAAGCGAGTGGAATACTGCTACTTGAAAACCTTCAGAAGTTCTTTAATTCTAACCTCTATAGTTTCATAACTCCGGAAGCGTGGAGCAGAAATGCGGTAGTCTTTAAGAAAGGTGACAACACTCTATTGTAGAACTACTGACCGATTTTTCATCTAAGCCGCAAGTACGTGCTGCTTTTAAAAGTCATTATGAATCGTTACGCGTGCAGACATGAATAATTCAAGCCTCCTTAACGCCCTTGAACAAAGATACAGAAGACCGAAGAGTAAAAAAAATATGGCACTTTGTCTTGTGCATGTAGAGAAAGCCTTTCATTTCTTCGATATTTAGGCAATGTTACAGTCGTATCAGCCATGCCAAGTTGACAAACGGTATATCGAAGTACTGAAATGATTGTAGAATAAGGCAAGTTCTCACACCGCACACAGAACAAAAGAGTTTTTAGAGCAAGAAAACAGAATTATTAGACCATCCGCCGTACAGCCCCGACCTAAGCCCTAATGATTTCTATACTTTCCCTAAAATAAAGAATAAATTGCGTGGACAGAGATTTTCATCGCCTGAAGTAGCTGTGGACGCCTACAAAACGGCCATTTTGGAGACCCCAACTTCCGAATGGAATGGTTGCTTCAATGATTGGTTCCATCGTATGGAAAAATGTGTCAAATTTCGCGGAGCATACTTCGAAAAGCAATAAATACATTTTTAAATAGTAATGTTGTGTCACTGCCTTGATTCCCGAAATTTTCAGTGCCGCCCTCGTAGACCGTGATTTTTTGACATTCTTTGGGAGAGGCCTATGTTCAGCAGTGGACTTGTGATGCGCTGTAATGATGATAATGATGATGTGGACAACAAAATAGTAATCATAAGTACCTATACAAATACCCAGTTAAAAATATTTACAAATTATGATAACAGCTTTATGCCGTATGTTTGCCGTATGCCGTTTATGCCTTATGCTCATACTTTAAGCCGTAAAAATGGACTACAATAAATAATGTGTTTCGGATATACATAAAAATTTAAAATACGAGATACAAAATCTTGCAAAATAAATATACATAAAACACATTAAAATACTACCACTATTGTTACTAAAAATTGTTACTTACAATTTGCTGCATATTCTTCATATTTTTAAAATAATAAATTGTTAACTTAAATTATTGCTGACAAGACCGATGCAGTTTTTTTTATAATAACAGTTTTCTTCACACCACGAAGGAGAAGTTGTTTACTCGGCAGGTTATGTTTTAGATCTGAAACTAGATCACATAATGTATCATAAATAAACAACATTTATAACAACCAATATTCGTCAAAAAAAATTTATTCCTCATTGCCTCAATTAACATTTAGATGTATAATAAATTTTATTTGAAACATACCAAAAAGTGAATCAGAAACAGAATCCTAAAATTGAGTTGTGACAAGGTCAGACAGGAAAATTAGCGTAGCTCACAATATAAATAGCTAAACAGTTCCGCAGCAAATTTTATTCAAAGTTCACTATCCAAAATGAGAAAAAAAATCAAACCATTAATCTTTTAATTTTATCACCTGCCATTGCCGACAATGCTTGGAGAAGGCTATATGTTTTAATTTATATTTTGATGTCTGCTTCCTAATCAACTTACATACAGATTAAAGTTTATACTAAAAATTGCAAGGTTGGAATCTTTAAACAAATAAGTAATTAGACTATTTAGTTACAAAAACAGACGAAATTAATAAAATAATTTACTCCTTCCTAATGCTATGAATACAAATAATTGGCATATATATTAAAACCAACTTTACCTACGCTTAAGGCTTCCTACATTGCCTTCACATTCGAGACAGATTTGACATTTTGAAATTCTTACATTTAAAAAAACTATAAAATTTTAATGTTAATGTCAAATCATTATTCACTCATCTGTTTTAAAATACACCACTCTAATTTAACGTGGAGATGAAGACAGCGCCACCACATTACCTTATTGCTTATTTATATTCTCGAGTAATATAAAAGCAAGATTTTAAACTAGTCTGACAGGGATGTTAAAACCAATGATTGGCGGATTTTGATGACAAATTCAATTTTAATAGGAGTATAAAAATTGGATATACGATTTCTTCTTTATAAAATCAGATAAGATACATAAAGGAGTAGTACAACCTTACTTAGATCAATTTAACTTGCGTAATGGTTAAATTTTGTAGTGTAAGGGGAAATATGCAAGTTTTTCATCTAAATATCAAACTCACCTGCACTCCATGCAACCTGCCGACTTACGCACCAAAGTGTGTCAATCGACTGATGGCAAAAAATGTACACACAAAAATCTGGCTCATCTCGCACAGACTGGTTATGGAGAGCAGTACATAACAAAGTATCGTTTCTGCTCTCACAGGTCATCTGCCCTGCGTAGTAATTATGGGCATATCTTTTAAGATATTTCAATTATTTGACCAGATACTCGTTACTTATCAGTTGTACATTTTATATTAATATATGGAAAGTTTAGAAGAAATATTCCTATCGCTTTTTAGCATTTTCTTTAAATTTTGAAAAATCGAAGTCTGTACTACAATTTAGGGAAGTTACCAAAAATATAGCCAACCCGTTTTTTAAATTTACCTCAACAATAGGATTTTCTCCTGTATCGTTGGGTCAGTTTACATATGTACATAAATTTCACAAGGACGAACATCCGGACCCGGAACAATTATTTGTAGGCCATACAAATAGTGCATAGTTACTATACAGCACCATTAAACCGCAAAACGGTTTGTATTGGTTCTTGCAGACGTCTATACGCATAAATATATTATTTTTAATAACTACCATCGTAAAATTGATAAAGTTAAGCATGATAACAACTAACAACCTATTCATTGTATTAGCGACATGATGACAAAAGTTCCATGCGGGATTCAAACCCGCGGCCCTTAGGGTTTGCAACACTAAGGGCCGCGGTTTGCTAAGACACTGCTAAGCCACTGCTATCTATCTTTACTATAATATAACTGTTTCCAAGCCAAGTCTGTACATTGTATATTTTTTGTAAAATTATAATTTCATTATACTTCTTTATCGATATAGAAGCCAAAACAATATTTTTGTTCATCTGTCTTTCTGTCCCTTTGAACACAAAAGGCTCTGAAACTACGGAAAGGTTGTTTAAAATATCTTATAACCTAGAAATTACAATTTTCTACAGACGACTTCAATATAAATTATTAGAATAACTCAATAACTATTAGTCTGACCTTGATCAAATTCATACGGGACCACACGAGAAGTATCAGCTTTCTAATAAAAAGAGAATCATCGAAATCGGTTCACCCAGTAAAAAGCTATGAGGTAACACACATATAAAAAAACATACAGTCGAATTGAGTACCGTCTCCTTTTTGGAAGTCGGCAGAAAAGTATAAACTATAGTAAAAAGTTATCATCGTAAAAATTAAGAGGTTATTCATTGAAAACCGCGTGGTGGTTTAAAACCACCACGCGGTTTGTAACCAGCCAAATTTGCAGAGAAGGTTCAGAATATATAATATAGCCAAATGGTGAAGAAAAATTATTAAAAAAAATCTCAAACATTCTGTCCTTCTAAGCTTTTAATTTCTTAATGCGTGGTAAATCATTATTTTAACTGATTTTACAGTGCACACACACATTCGTAAGGGTCGTTCGGTAGGCAAAAGGTCATAAATCACATTAAATTTGGGATAATTTCAAATAAAAATAAAATCCTTAATTACTCGTATTTTCAAAATCTTCAATATCGGTATATCATTATATATATATATTTAAAATTAAGTTCCAAATTTGGCTACTCTTTGAAAAATAACCCTATAATGTATGTAAGAGAGTCGGATAAAGATAAGGGGTGCTTTTATACGGTGATGAAAAATTGAGGTTGTGTTTTTTTTTTGATGTGTTTCATAA